GGCAAAAATGTAGATCCAGACCCGCTGATGTCTTAGGCCGCCTCGGCAAAAATGTAGATCCAGACCCGCTGATGTCCGCAATCCGATCCGCAATCTGCCAAATCTGATTTTTGTTTTTTTTAACATCCGCCAAATTATTGCAGATGCGTTTTTTTTTTTAACGTGTGCGACCGCACAGTGTAGAGTGAATAATAAGTGAATGATACTAAGGAAGAGCATCATGGAATATATTGCGGGAGCAGACTACTCTTTTTGATAAAAGGTTGCCAGTTGGAAAGAAAATTGTTTTTTACGTCAAGAAATATTTGATCCTCACCAAATATCGCTTTAGAATGTTTCATCTCGCCAAAAATGCTGTCCCTAGAAGAAAAAAAAAAGAAGTAAAGAATGCAGGAGTGTCAGTCGTCCCAGGAAAGCGCGTTCTTGTTTGGCAGGGAAAGAGCGCAAAACGTTCTTTGTGCCAAGAAAACCCAAAAACGTACAAGCCACAGGAAAGTAGAAGCAGCCTGCAAGTGGCTTGTTCGTTATACAGGTGGATAGAGGAGATTGAATTCGATCCTCTGGAGTGGTGCAACTTGCGCCAGCACGAATCTCCGCACCTCACTCTTGGAGCGCAGTTCGTGCACGCCATCCCACTCCCAGCATAAAGTGCATCAGCGGAGAGAGGCTTCTCATCACCGGGTATTAATTTAAGAGAGGCGAACCAGCGTGGATCCGTCCGATCTGTCCGTCCGTATTAAAGAAAAAAAAAAAAATTTTTTTTAAACAGCGTGCTGAAATTGAACAAAACCTGAAAACTTTTCTCTTTCATAATTTATTTTTCAGTACTCGTACATGATAAAGACACAAACTTTGCATAATGTGGACGGCAATAAAAGGTTCTACCCGTATAAAAAAAATGTTTTTTTTTAAACAGCGTGCTGAAGTTGAACAAAAACTGAAAACTTTTCTCTTTCATAATTTATTTTTCGGTACTCGTACATGATAAAGACACAAACTTTGCATAATGTGGAAGGCAATAAAAGGTTCTACCCGTATTAAATTTTTTTTTTTTTTTTTTTTAAACAGCGTGCTGAAGTTGAACAAAAACTGAAAACTTCTCTCTTTCATAATTTATTTCTCAGTACTCGTACATGATAAAGACACAAACTTTGCATAATGTGGAAGACAACGAAAGGTTCTACCCGTGGTATTATTTTAAAAGTGATACTAAACATAGCCGACTCAAAAGCGAAATTCGCACTTTAGGTCACAGTTGTTCGCGGAGGCATGTTTGGGGATTTTTACGAAGATTGGAGCGACGAATAATAAATAGTAGTTATAATGTCGTTTTACCTACTTGCGTATATATCACAATAAAAGTATATGGACGCTCTCTTCTGAATACTTTGAGATTGAGAGTGATTAAAAAACGCCACCACACGACAATCGTCAAAAGCTCGTCGTTCTTTCCCACTTCTTTGAGATTTTTTTTTTGTTTTGCGAAACTATACATGTCACGGCATTAAAATAAAAAGGATTGTTCTTGGTACATGCGCCACAAAATGTAAAAATTTGAAGCAAAATAAAAATAAAAAAATACCACTGCACCTCGTTGCCTGAATCCAAATGAAACCGCCCATATATATATATATATATATATATATATATATATATATATATATATATATATATATATATATATATATATATATATATATATATATATATATATATATATATATATATAGATATATATATATATATATATATATATATATATATATATATATATATATATATATATGGGCGGTTTCATTTGGATTCAGGCAATTACTCGTCTGATTCAGACGATCAGTCGGCTAATTAATTAAAATTTGTTAATTAAATTTTTAATTAATGAAAATAGACATATATCGTTCCAATTAGAAACTTGTTCAGCGTCATCGAAAACCACTAAATCAGTCATTTTCATAAAGACTTCCGGCGCGTGAGAAGCGTAGTATTGTACTAAAGTCACCACTCGTGGAGCAGGTACAAGGCTGGGCTTGATAAAAGACGGAAAAATCGCGCGGGCGCCTTGTCGCAACCACTAGCTTTGTACCTGCTCCACGAGTGGTGACTTTAGTGCACTACTACGCCTCTCACGCGCTCAAAGTCTTTTTGAAAATTACTGATTTAGTGGTTTTCGATGACGCTGAGCAAGTTTCTAATTGGAACCTTATGTCCATTTTCATTATTTAAAAAAGTTAATTAACACATTTTAATGAATTAGCCGATTGACCGTTACCTTTAGCCCCCTATAATATGTCCCCCTGTCCGTATAACTCACCTCCACAAGCGACATAAGTGTAACTTTCACGGCTTTTTTTGAACAAATCTGTTAAGCTTAAAAAAAAAAAAAACGGTATGTATATATATACATATACAGGGTGTTTTTTTTTTATTCTTACACATTTGTTTAAAAAAAAAACCGTGAAAGCTACACTAATGCGGTTTGTGCAGGTTGGTTATACGGCCAGGCGAACAGTATGTGGGTGACTAATCTTTACGATAAGTCGACTAATTAATTAAAATTCGTTAATTAACTTTTTAATTACTGAAAATAAACATGTGGTTTCAATTACTAACTTGCTGAGCAGCATTGAAAACCCCTAAATCAACTAATTTTAGCAGGATATAACGCCGGGGCAGCGTTTTACGGCGTTCTGTAAAAACGCTCCATTTGGACGCGTTTCTAGATTTCGGTTTCTTATCGGAGCGCATCAACGCGCCCGCGATCCTGCTCCCTACCAGGTGGCCGGGGACGAGTCAAAAAAAAAAAAAAAATAAAAGTGTATCTTAGAGCGGAAATGCTTTCATTGCTGCTTTTCCGCAGTTTAAAGCGCGTGAGTGAGAAAACGTATTTGTTAAAGGAATGGGATACATCACGATTTCTTGATAAAGTCATCCAATCGTGACGGGGGAAGGGGATTATGGGAAGGGTAGGGGGAGGAGGCTAAATGGTAACAGGCGATGAGAGGACGAAACTAATCAGGGAATCAGGGATGTGTTTGCGGTGCGGGTGCTCTAGCCTGGGGCGGGTCCAGTCCTCGTACGTAGCTAGTCTTGCCTCTTCAGGGAATGGGGCGTCGTTACGATGATCTGCGACCCCCTCGCACGTGCAGACGAGAGGGATGCACGTGGCTGGAATCCCGCAGTGCGTGCTCAGAACGAACTCACATTAATGGGCTGCTAAGAACGGCAGTTTTGACGGTATGGAATGTGCTTTGCAAAGAAACTGTAGAAGCTCGCCGTCGGCACTTGCTCAGCAGTCGCGCAGAGCTATGGCTGCCAGTGAATATTCCATGTACCGGGTGATTCAAGGAGACGGCAGGCTCTTTAAATTGACCGGAAAATTCGGTTTTTACAATTTTTTTGTAAAATGTGCAAAGAGCGATCTTACCTGAGGAAAAAGTAAAGAAAGGCAAAGGTTTAGCTCCAATTAAAGCCCCTCGATATGTTTTCGTTTGCCTTTGCAAGTAGCGCCAAATGCGCGAGCGCACGTGGCCCAGGTCTCGAGCGGCCCTTGGAAGCAAATGGCGGCGCAGCACTGAAATGAGCGGCCCTTGGAAGCGAATGGCGGCGGAGCACCCGCTCGTGGCACGTGTCTTGCGCATTTCCACAACAATGGTTGGCGGTACTTGTGAAAACACCTTTATCAAGGGGCTTTAGCTCCAATGGAAATGCAGCGACGCCACCGGTCTTCAAACAACACGACGCCGTTTCGCACGGGAGACAAAAGATGGCGCAAGCGGTCGCGACGCCAACTGCCGCCAACGAACGAGCAGACGACGCCGAGAGCCGGCGTATTTAGCAGACAAGGAAGTGCAGTTCCTTATTGTTACCGCGCCCGTTTTTGTTTCTGCGACTGTCGCCGCCCGCGGACCGCACTCCACTTTTGAGTCGAAAAGACTGTCTGCTAAAGACGTTGGCTCTCGGCGCCGTACGCTAGGGTGCCTACATGTCTGTCTGTCTCAGGGTGAAGACATCCATTGTTCCCCTGAATGTGCCAGTGCGTGACGGTCTCGCGCACTCGGTGCGTGACTTGGGCGGCAAAATGGCGCCTATGTATTAGCCAAAGCTAGACGCTCGAGCTGAGTGACACCGGATTGCGCGCACTTCAAAATGCATAAAAAAACGAATGGGCGGAAAAATGGCTGACATGTCACCACTCAAGCAAACGCGCGTGTGTATGAAGGCACTCTACCGTACGCTCGTTCGTTGCGCCATCTCTTGTGCCTCGTGCGAAACGGCGCAGTGTTGTTTGAAGACCGGTGGCGTAGCTGCGTTTCCATAGGAGCTAAGCCTTTTTCTTTCTCTTTTTCCTCAGGTTAATTCGCTCTTTGCAAATTTTACAAAAAAAAATGCACCATCTGTGGGCAACGCTGCACAAAGTTGCTGTGCGATACGTTAAGAAACCGAATTTTGCGGTCCATTTAAAGAGCCTGCCGTCTCCTTGAATCACCCGGTAGAAGCACTGTACATACGTCGTTACTTTGGTACACAAAACCTCCAGGTATTGAGTTAATATAAGGTGCGTGCGAGACAACAACCTGGCAACACAAAACATGCTCCACAAAATTTGTGTTAGGATTGAATATTTGATGCTTCATCATAGCAGTGAGACAGGGAACTTGTACCCTTGTTACACGGGCACACCTAACCGCCGTTACGCTACGCCACAGTTACCACACGATACTTGCGGACATTTTGTGGCTATGCAGTCAAAGCTATAGGCGCACGGGCGCTTGAGCACCTCGAGCACCGATCAAAGCAGTGCACGCAAACTCTTCACTTCTTCTGATATAGCTATCCGAGAGTATAGTGTGGTGACAATGGTGATTTTTAACAGCAGTTAAAGGTGACTTAACTACGGTTAAGGGTGCCCGTGTAACATGGGTATAAAATCATGGTAAAGATAACATACTGCATTGCGAACAGCAGTGTTTGTAGAATATAGTATAAACACAACTCCAAGATAACTTGTTTCATTTTTTATTGCAAAAAAAAAAAAAAGAATGCGAGAATGCCATTTTTTCTCAAAGGCCGTCATCGTAAAAAAAGAAGCTGTAAATTCTTCGTAACCATACTCCTCAGGATTCCAGACAATTAAAAAAAAAAAGAAATCTTAAGACAGATAATGAAGGAGCAAACAATTGCTGCATGTGAAATTAAAAAAAAAATAATAACAACAGCATCACAGTTGCAAATGGTCTCAAATACTGATGTACGTACAAATCGCCAAGTCCTCCTTTTCGTAAGACGGTCAGCCCCATACCATGACTATGCTCCGTACCACTTCACGAAGGACCGCAGCGGAGCTAGTCTAATGCCATGCGTGCGGTCACGTGTCACGCCCGCAGCGTGAGATTAACCGGGATGGCTCACAACATCCGCTGCCATCCATCGTAAGGTTAAGCGGAGCACACGAATTGATGGGCTCTGACCACGAAAAAACCCCTAGAGTCTTTTAAAGTGTATCAAAACGAGATAAATTTAGTCGTTCGGCGGCTCATCCACACGTTCCTCATTTGTCTTTCTTGCTGGCCGCCTTGCCCGAAGAGTCTTCTTCCCGTCTCGTCTCCTGACCGTCGTCTGCTGAACTCTTCTCCACGGCAGGGTGATCTTCGTACCTGCGCATGTTACGCACGTGGCGCTATTCAGGCGTGGAATGCTTTTTGACGAAATGCCCCCAAAACCAAATATTTTACCGTCCGTGCATTTCTTGCTATATCTAATGGGGAAATTGATGGCACATAAATTCAGTTTACCCGCTAAACTTAGCGGGAAAATTGATGTCACGTGACCTGATGTCACAAGACCTACGCAATAAATCTGTTTTCTCGCTAAATTTAGTGGGAAAATTTATGTCACGTGGCTCGACCACGAGACCACGAACATAGATTGAGTTTACGCCATAAGAAGAAAAATTCGAAAATGTGCGATAGTGACACCGGGCCATCTTGTGGCACACTGCTCCTTCTTCACTCCAAAACACATAAAAGAGTAGTTCTTATGCTCCGTTCACCCTTAAGCCAAGACTAGAAGCTTTGCCTTGAGCGCGAGCTCGCTGGCTTCCGCAGTGCTATGGTTGCAAGTGCCTGCGCGTTTACACTCTCATTAGCAAGGGTAGAAAGCTCGCGCTGAAGGCGGAGCTTCTAGTCTCAGCTTAAAAGTGAACGAAGTATAGCTCAAACTTTTCGGTTTGAACCGTGCAATAACACCTTTTTCTTCCCGAGCTATCTTATATTTTTTGTCGTGACTGCCTGCTGTTGAAAGCGGGTGCTGCATAAAGTAGCAACGATGCAAGACGAACACCGAGACACCCGAAACAGAAAAACTCACTTGAACATGGTTGTGATGTCGCCCAAAACGAGTGCCACCACTAAGGGCACGCCCACGCACGCTGGCACCAGGTACAAAAGAGCAGGCTGCAGAGGACAAACAAGACGGTTAGCATACAGTATCCGAAAAGACTGTCAAGTTGCGCTCACACTGCCAATACATCGTACATAAGTCAGTCTGAGGTGTGTTTCTCGCTTGTATGATGGCCCTGTCACATCAGTCATACAAAAATTGCCCACACACATGTTCAAAGCATGATCATGCTTGAGGCATATCTGCAGAAAATTCTGTTATCTGCAGTTAAAACTCTCCCTTTTGAATGATGTTTGAGCAGTTTGACTGTGGCTCAAGGCCTTGCCAGGCTGTAGGGCCTTGCCAGGCTGTAAGGCCTTGTCAGGCTGTAACACTTTGTCAGGCTTAAGGCCTTATCTTCCCAATAGATCGCCATCTGCTTACAAGGCCCATGGCCGCTTGAAGGGTGCTGCAACTCCCTCTGTGGTATTCAGGCAGAAGGGTGCATCGGCTTGGGCTTAGCGCAACTTTCGGCCACAAAAGAAGCGTGTATTTCGTGAGCTAGGTAAGTTGTACACCCCGGACTTTTATAGAAAGCTACGTACACCACCTAGATCTGTCCTTGCTGAAAACACCAGCATGCGCCTGGTTGGCAAAAAAAAAAAAAGAATAACTCGCACGGTTATGCTGGAGACTCCGAGACAGGAAACATGAAAATGAGGACAAACACAACAATGTCCAAAACGCGCGTGCCTTTGAACCACCGGGCCAGAATGAATGTATTTATCCGACAGTCTTTCGAATGCTATTAAAATGGGTGCCACGAGAGATTGATATAGTTGTCCGATAAACTGGTGATTAAAGGAACAAATCACCCCGTGTTTTGCGACAGAATGAATGATTTAACGAGAGATGGAATTTAGAGCAAAGTTAAGAGGAGAGAGCGCAAATGTTACTAGGCTAGGTGGTGCAGGCTATCACCCCACACAAAAGGTACAGCCACAACCATCCATCGACAAAGCAGCTTGAAACGGACCTGCGCATGATTGAAGTACATCATCACGAAGATGGTGAGTGCCAGGCCTCCGACGTATGCCAGGAAGCTGCTCACAAAGTAGACGTTCCTCTTGCGGTTCAGGCTGCAAAAGACGGGCAAGCATCACGACTACTGCACCTCCAACGCGTCTTTGACCGGTGCGTCTAGTGTCTTATCCTGCCGTGCACAGAAAGAGCTCTCAAAAAAACAATTGCAACACCGGAGCCGATGCGTTGTGCTGTTGGTTGTGGAAGTTCCGGCAAAAAGCACGAAAAAACGCGAGTATCACTGTCGTTGCGGTTTCCCAACTCCCGGCTGCAACAGATTTTTTAAACTGCCAAGCTGAGAGCAAGCTACAGTGGAATGGGCATCTGCCGTATCTGGCCCCGCTGCTGCGATACCACTACCAGGATCCACGCGACGTCTACAACGTCGCCGAGTGGAGGGACCGGATTTGAGGAGGCGGTAGACGCACCGGTCAGAGACGCGCTCCGGGCACTATAACCGGGACCCAGAATGTGAGAGACACAAAAAAAGCGACGACAAGAAAATGTTCCGACGTTACCTGAAGTCAAACCGCAGTAAGAGGGCGATGAAGATCCCCGGAATGACGATGTCGCCGAGGCCGAGCATGGCGAAGTGGTTTCCTTCGAAGCCCCTCTCCAGGAAGTCTTGAGGGAACACCACTGGTGGGGAGACAAAAATTAATGGCGAGGAAACGGAGCTTCGAGAAACAATGGGCATCTGCGAGCAAACAAACTGTCTAGGTCGGGGCGAAGGTTTGATGCAGAAAGTAAGCGGGAAAATACATTTATGCACCACAAACCCCGTTGAAGCGTGCAATAGCCCTAGCAAACTGCCTGGAAACAAACTCAAACGTTTTTCGAGCTTGCCACATTTTTATCGAAACTATGAAGTTTGGAGGATGGTGCTGGCAAACGCACCAAGCACACCGACGAAATATTTTCTTGAATTTAACTTCGAAGACATCTGTATTCATAGTAAATTGCATTGGCCCTATTGACATAAAAAGTGGAAGCATCTGCTGACGGGTGATGGAGGGCAGATTGCCACTTCCGATGCTGATGTGCCGACGCGGGCAGGTAGCAGCGTCCACGTTCCGACACTACTCACCATTGCAGGAAAATCTCTATCGCAGATTATTATTCTCTCCTAGATTTAAAACATTGTCAACATATTTTTGCCAGAAAAGATTAACTGCTTTAGCATTCACCAAGAAAATTGGAGAATCACTAAAGGTTCACACCAAAGCCAGTATGTTATAACATACCACTGAGTAACATACACAGAAGGACATTTATGGCTTAATACTATAATTGCTCAGTATGCTACAGTTTTGCCCACACATTTAGTTCTTTAACATCTTTCCTGCCTTTCATTACATGCGAAGTCTGACGAAGACAGAAAAGGAAGAGCGTACATTTAATGGGTGCCTCGAACGACTTGGCCACAGTCACCATGACATCGGTGCCAAACACCTGCAGATAAAAGAAAAAGGAAACAAACAAAGATAGTAAGAGCTTTGCAGTGAAAACTTCCTAGCAACACGAGCAAGACCAGTTTTTGAGTAAGGGCATTACATTTTAATTTGAACAGAATTTTTAAAAGAAGGGGTGAAAATTAGACAATGTATTTTTCTGGCTGGGCGGACGTCAGAGTGAAGGATCCTCATGCTAAGTTGGCTTTAACTAAAATCCGTTTATTAACTTATTAATTATTGGTTTTAGGGGCCATGTTGCAATTGCAGCCTTGAAAGAAATTACTATTTAGTCCAAAACAATTTTTAAAAAATTGTGAAAATTAACTAGTTTTTGAGATAGTGATTGATTAATGTTAGTTTCCTAGACAGATTTAAAAATTGTGCGCAAAAAGATTGCCCCAGGTCCTGCCCACATTGACGCTTAAAAGAGTGACATAGTCGTCAGTCACATTGACACAAAGTAATTTAGAAGTAATTTCGATCAATACTGCAATTGCAACATAATCCCAAAACCAATAATTAAAACAATAATTAACGGATACTAGCTAATTAGCCAAATTAGTGTGAGGATCATTCCCTCATCCAATGTCTGCCCAGCCTGATAAATATGTGGTGAAGTGGCACTCAACTAATTCTCAAGCCCTTTCTTTAAAAAAAATCTGTTTGAATTAAAATAAAACACCATGTATATAACGCATTACTCAATATTCTCTTCAAGATAAATGGTAACATACAGACACTTCGAGGTGCTAACCACATTATATGTCTAGAGTGCTTGAAAGAGTGTGAAATGTGCTATATGGCCTTCATCATTTCGCTATTCCAACCCCGCACTCATTGATTCCCATTCAACAGATTCCTGCTTTGGATATTAGGCTTTACCGGATCTTTCTGCGCATTTCAATAGGTGTATACTACTTTACATGCTCGACACTAAATGGCACTGCCTCGCTTATCGTTAAACACCGAATTAAACACTCGCTAGGTGGTGCAAGCCACTATCCAGCTCGAAGGGTTCAGCAGTATCCACCAGCCCATTGCAGACGGGAGTTCTAGAACAAACACGCATTGTTTCGCGGAAACGCGGACAGTGCCTCTTTCAATTTTATTGAAACGAACATAGGCCAGCTCACTTTTAGAAGACTAAAAATATGGTGTGCTGAAAATATGCAAAAGACCCTTTCCAAAATTCAGTCTGTCAACTTGAACAACTGCCATAACTCGAGTGTAAAGCCAGTGTGGCATTTGTCCATGCTAATGGAGGTCCTTTGATGGCAGGTGAAGGAAGAAGTTTAAGACGGGCCCCATAGAGATAACACAAATCCTGGGTGCTTAAGACGCTAGTCCCCTATTTTGTTGTTTGATGTCAGCGCGATAAGACTTCTAAGCTTCTTAGTGCTACACATTAGAGGGTGTCATGCCTATCCCAGGTAACACAGAACAACAAGTGCTGAGTCAGCATTCCTTTCGGACTGAATAAATCAGCTGGCATACGCTAGACCCAGAAAATCCTTGGTGTGGTGAATATTGTTGAAAGTTTTACTCAGGTAAGTGCCTCGTTAAGGTGTATCCACACGACGGACCGGGCCGCGGACCGATTGATCACGTGATGCGCGGTCCGCGGGCCGCCCGGCTGCAATGACCATCCACACGGCGGACCAAAAGAGTCGGTCTAACCCTCGACCTCACAGCTCCGCCAAACGCATGCAGTGAGCTGCTTTGAGGCTATTTGTAAGTAGCCAAGATGGAGGTTGACCGAAAGAGACGTTTGGCCGCGGTGGCCCTGGCGTTGACTATTGAGGACGAGGAAGACTTAAGTGAACCGAAAAGGGCATGCATCTATTGTCCCACAGGGCGGGGAATCGCTCCACGAGCGCGATGAAGTAAAAAGTTGCATCGTCGCACCATGCCGCCATCGTCGTACAACAAAAGGTTCCTCTTCTTCGTCTTCAACAGTTGGCGCCAAAAGAACACGACTTTGAATTTGGATTCCAATCCAAACAACAAAAGTCAGCTTGTTGCCAGACTTAGCACTTCACTAATACTAAAAACGCCGCGGTCCGCCGCCAAGGTCCGGGCGAGAAAAGTGCTTGGCATTTCTCACAAGCGCGGGCCGCGGACCGCCGGCGGACCTCGAAAACCGGTGACGTAAGGTCACGTGATGCGCGGCCCGCGGACCAAAACAGCAATTTGGTCCGTCGTGTGGATACACCTTAAAGAGGAGCTTACCTAAGAAAGCACACCATCAAAACTGAAACTGAATGAAAAAAATGCGTACTGGGAAAAACAACGTCACTTATGTACGTCTGCCTCTTTTAGAAGGATATATTGATCTAATAAAAAGGATGTTAATTTAGCAGTCTCATTTCAAACTTAAAAAAAAAAAAAAGGTGGTTTTTGCTACTTTTTGTTTTGTTTCTAGCAAAATTCGAGGCGTCGTCAGAATGATGAAAAAAAAATAGTTATTGCAGAAATATCTTGGAAAAGGGACTTTTGCATTACCAATAACACATAATATTTTTTTTTTTTTTTTATTGAATCCATAGAATTAACTTGTAAACAAATGTTCCTCATGGATAGTACTGTATTTACTTGCATAATTAACACACATTTTCCCCCAAAAAATTCACACATATTTGGGGGGTGCATTCATTACATGGAGTAAAATTTTTGCACTTACACATTTTGTGCACATGTTATTTAAGGTGCCAATATGACATGGAAGGATACTGTGTCACGTCTCCACTGACGGAGGCGCACCTAAGGCTGGTTGTGGGCGCGCAACAGTAACCATGCTCTATAAATTGCAAACCTTTTTTAGGGCGTTTTTGGCATGCCTTTTGACGAAGGAAAAGCGCCCTACGAAGCTCACTCAGCATGGGAGAGCATCCCGACCCTTCTTAGGCCTATGACTTTTACGATTTCACTCTCCAAAAGTGGACCAAAGGTGACGGTGTGTTTGTTGACATCAATGCATCCGATGGGCAAAGGATGTCCGGGGCTGGGCAATCTCTCAACCCCAGCTTCGTTAGGCGTACGCGCTGCTGGTTTTCACCAATGATCTGTTTTGAAACTACGCACTTGGAGCCATTACGAAAGTGTGTATTGCCACGCTTGGCTTGGCCTGGTTGCTTGGCAGCGAAAGTAAATTGGCTCGGTGACCAGCCGAGTTAAATGCAGTTCAAGATTCGCGGAGCCGAAAACTGGAGGTACGTTAATTACGCGAGGGAAAAGAAAACTCCAAATATTGATGCTCATTGTGGGGGTTGGGTTCATTATGCGAGTGCATTCATTATGCTAGAAATACGGTACACACATCTAATACTGCAAAACCCTCGCTCTAGTGAAACACGGCTACACAGTTCCCTCCCTCATAGATGGCGCCACTAAGCTCTCTCGTCATGAGAGAATGCAAAAACACGGTCCTAAGCAAATGCAAATGTGTGAATGGGCCTTTAAACTCGGCAAAACGTTCAAGAAGAAAAATTCAATGATGCAGTGGTATGTAGTCAAGCATTTCAGACAAAACTGACAAATGGGGCAAAGATATAGCAGCTCAAAACCGCCAAAGCTCACCCAGAAGACGTCGTAGAAGAAGAGGCCTCCTAGGAGAATACAGCCCGTGGCCACGGTGTTGATGTGCAGCAGCTCCACACCGTTGATGGCAAACGCAAGGCCAAACAGGTTGTTGGCCACCCAGTGCTGCGAGCAGCCAAGCACGGCTTACACTTTCCATGCAAAACCTTTGCATAGCAGACTGTATAATGGCCTACAAATGCCATTGTAAAACATGAAAGTTCGAAAATGTATTTAACACAGAATGTGTCTAAGGGCTGGGATCACCAAGGAAAGTGTGACGGAATGCCATGGCAACTGTTGCAAAATGTGCAACATGTACTTAAAGAGGGCAATCTGTACAAAAGAGTGGTAAATTGAGAATAAATAATGAAATTCTAAATGCATCCCAAAAGGAATCAAACCAGCAACCCCATGATTGTTACAGCTCGACGTTCTACCACTGCACAAATTAGTGGGTACAAGCAAAGCAACCTGGCTTTTTCTCTACAGTAGTGGTCTACTGTCTACTAACTGTTTGAATGCAAACGCCAACATTTATGAGAAGAAACACAAAATCCAAGACCTGTCCACCGTCACATGAAAAGGGACCGAGTTTGAAATAAAATAGCACGCTATGAACACATAAAAATTTAAAACAAACTGCAATGTCCATCACACGCCCCGAAGAATGCTGCAGAAACACATTTTGTCTATGCAGACTTTATTAGTGGGATTAAAAGAAATCAGGCATTTTTAATTGCAATAAAGCTTTAAAATCATTAAGAAAATTTAGGCAACTGTTTGGGAGTGTGACGAAAACCCACCTTTTTCCAGAGGTACCAGACCCCAAACACGCTGCAGAAGACCCAGCACGCAATGTCGTCGTAGTTGAAGCGGTAGTCAAAGTACTCTGCAAGTCAAAACGGACGTCATGCTGGTTAGCCAGGCTTCAGTTGTCCAATTGGTTGTTTCAGTGCAGTTATACCTACACAAAGCAGATTAGATAGCTGATCGTGTGCCTCAGCATAAATATGTAATGGTGTGCCCCCAGCTCCAGTAGCTGATCCGAACACTGGAGTCAAGTAAAAGCTCAGTAAAACCGACACAAATGCAGTATATTTCAAACCTAATAGATCTTTTTCTGGTAACTTTTATCACAATCATCATCTTGGATGGCATCCGTGTCAAACTAATGGCCGTCTTCTTGACGCTGATGAAGGAAGAAGATGAAGATACAACAGAGCGGAGGATATGGGGCCTGTACATTTGAAACACCAGTACAACATGACGCACAAATAACGGCTGCGTAAGCATTAATTTTTGAAGTGTGGTACAATCAATCTGTCAGCAAAAGGTCCGGCTCTAAAGCCTTCTGATGGTGGAAATCTAACCGAGGGTCTCACGGGCCGCACCTTTGTACTTGCCCGTTCTGACGCTCCCACCCTTGAAACTGAAACAAATCTAGAAAGAGTTACGAGGTGACAGAAGAACGGATTCTCATTTGCCATCGACGCCCGGAGGTGACAGTGCCCGACGGAATAGTTTCATGACTGCCGTTAGTTTGTTGAAAGTGAAACTGCTTTGTGCAACACCAGATGGCATTGAACCTCTGTCTATTCAACTCAAAAGTAGGCCAGCATGTTACAGACTGCAGGTGAGTGGGCGTGCTGCACTGCCACCCCTCTGTAGTGGAGGTGCCATTCCAAGGGGAGGCAAACATCCTGCAGCAATTCGCGCATCCGCTTTTGGGCGTGCGTACCTTCGCAGTCGTCGCCTTGGTTTGACTCCCCGCTCTGGCCGTCCTGCTTCTGAACGGTCGACCACCGCTGGAACGAGATCCTGTACTCCCAGGCGTAGAAGTGCGCTGGCAGCAGACACCGCATCACGCGGCTGAACGACGGGCTGCAAGGAAGGAATCGAGTGTTTCGATACATGTCCCCCCCTCAATGTTCTTTTATTGATTTCGTCTAAAGCGTTAATAATTGGGGCTTTATGTTTTCCGGGTTCATTTCTCTTCATATTTCAGGCTGTTTCTTCAAAGTTAGTTTTTTTAGACTGATTCAGTGTTTTTTCAGTGCCAACATTTCTGGCTTCTCTTAAAGGATTGCAGTTTAAGTAAAAATAAAAAAAAACAGGACACAGGATTCCTCAATCTCTAGGCAACATGTGCATGACTCAAACACTCGAAAAACGCTCTGGTAACGATAAGAGAAGGAAACGGGACAATGGGCGTTGTTTCCCAAGAAAGCCTCATGGACAGTTCATTGGGATCTGTGTTCTGGATCAGACCAAAATAAAGCTGCAGATAAAAAAAATCTTTACGAGAAACTTTGATTTTTGGTACTCTTCTCCAATTCGGGGTTTTTGGCAGTTTTCCCCGAATTGAGTAAAACGAGTTTGGGGGTTAAATATTGGGGTCAATCAGTATTTACCGAAAACACGGAACCCTAATCATAACGCGTCGAAAGGTGACGGGCAAGTAGCTTCGTCTCCCTGAAGTAATTTCAAAAATAAGGAAGTGGAGTGTTTTCTGATTGGACAACCGATAAGACGGTTGGGAATTTCGCAGAATTTGTGTCTTCACGCTCGAAAGACCTAGGATGGCCCTCGGAAACACCAAGTGGGGATCCGTAGACTAGCACTTTGTCTCGATGTCACCGAAGCGGACGGGATCCCATTAATGAAGAGAAGAAACTGCGCTCGACTTAGTTAGGACTCACCTGAGAATGTGTGCCAGTGCAAGGACTCCCAAAAGGAAGAAATAACCGGTGAGGAGCAGGTTGATGTACTCTTTAGAAAAGAGCTGCGGGACAAAAGCAGAGACAGCCAAATAAAAACCACGCAGGGCATTAAATTTCTGAACACAGAAGGCCCCACAAGCTCTGTAACAGCAAACGACACAGAGCATGGTACCCTAAGCCTGACTTCAAACGGAGTAACTTTTTCCAACGTCTCGGTGTTGCAACAGCTGTGGCACAAGCCTCTTGCCTTCGTACGCAGCAACTGCTGAACGTCGAATCACTATGTTTTGTCGTCATCATATTTAAAATTGTGACTTCATATCGTTACTTGGGCAAACTTGCGCGTTAATGACATGTTTTGCTACGCTTCGATGGCATTAAGAATATTACCTAATCTGCTTGAAACCGTTTAACCTCAAAAAACAACAGATACCTGCCCAGAACGCAGTCAAACCTTTTGAGGACAAACCGCTTTGTAGAGCCCATTAGGCGTTGCCGATACGTTACACTCGGGCACTTTTACCGCAATATCGGTCACGGTGGTACGCAATGTTCTGGAACAAGTTGCGGTCAGGTACTACATGGAGCTTTCTGTCTGCCGGAAATATCCTTGCCTTGAAGAAGATGTACAGGCCAAAGAGGGCCCCACTGGCGATGACGGGAAACATGGCCGCATCCTTCCGCGTCATTGTCTCCGGCTTTTCGCCAGACTCCTGCGAACGAATAAAGACACTTGCTCAGAAATTGTGACGAGTCATTTGCCTTTAGAATAAAAGCTTTAAACTGTGGTTACTCTCGAGAAAAAAAAAAAAAAATTTTTAAAACGTAGACTTGACATAACCTCCACTCTTTTGCCCGATTCTACCATTAAACACAATGAGCAGAGACATCTTGTGGGTCGATGTGACCAACACTAAACCCAGAGGGCACTTTACTGCTGTTACGTTCGTACATCAACAAAACCAAAGCAAAGCAGCTTGGTGTTTGTTACCGGCCCTCAATCAGTTCCTCTACAGAGTTCACTCGAAAGTCAGACACACCTCACCTTGCAACGGTACAATGAATGTTCCAGACGCGAGGAAAGGGAAACAGAAAACTAGCAAATCTACAAGAGCCTCTGGCAGCTCGTTCCTGCCCCCATTTTTTTTTAACACCTCACACACGGCAAATGTGGAGTGAACATTGCACAATATTACTGAAACTCAATGTTCCTTAATATCGCAGCCAACCTCGCTGCTTTGGGCCTCTTGTATTCAATACACGGTATCCGAGCCATTTCCAATCTGCCGTGGCACGGGCCGCAAATATTTTTTGGTTCGGGTGTTGCTTGCATGCTTTTGAAGCTACATCTCCACTAAGTTTCGTGTGTTACGCAATTATATCTGTCTTTTGTTATGTTCTACACATTGAATGACTGCAAAAACGGTGTATTGCAACTGACTGTGCAACCCTGCTGTGGCAGAACTGGAATTACACTCAAGTTCAGAAGGGCATAACCTTGGCCGAATTGGTGGTACATTGTAGAGAACTAAAGAGCTAAAAACGCAGATGGACTAGTAGGAGGAGGACGTACACCACAGAGTGTCCTTCTTCTAGTAGTCTTTCGTGTTATTAGTGCTTTTAATTCTCTACACTTGAAAATAATGATTGATCGAAAAATTAATTAAGATTTGCCATTTCCAGACGTCAAAAAATATAACTTTATAATTTAGCCTGAAGCGATGTCGCATCAGTTTCTGGATCACGGGTTTTCATAAAACAGACCAACTTGGTACTGGATAAAATATTTTATAATGAAAATAATATTTTTTTTTATTTTAGAGAAGAACCATCTGCTGATGTTTATTTTCAGGTACATCTGCACTTGTGAACAGACGGTTTATGTGAGTCCTGAACACACACCAGCAAAAACCTACGAACTAAAGAAAATGAATTCATGAATTCTTAGCAGATGGCTTAAGATTATGAGGGACCTCTTGACATGGAACCAAACCCGGGGTTTGGTTCCACATAGATTTTTCTTTTCTTTTACAGGATGCAATAAAGCGTATGTTCATGACACGTTCGAAGCAAGACATGAAACACAGCATGAAACCACCGGTACCATCATCTCAATTTTATTACTCACCGACGTTGTCGAGCGCAACAACACGTGTGTTATCTGCCCTAATGGTAGCTTGAATAAATGGTACCTACCCGGGAGTGTCGCGCGATCGACAACAAGTCGGACGCGAACAAGTTTTCTCCACCTCGGTTCTAGGATCTAAAATAACCTTTTCACGTTCGTGCATGTAACTGTATGCGAATTAATATTATTCCCAGAATCACAGTGGTAGGCCGACGTTGCCACGGTCACAATATCTCTACTTGTCGCCGTCGTCGTCCACCGTTGCTTGTTTACGTTTACGTCAGAATATCATGGTATTAAGGAGGTGAAAAAATACAAAAAAGTGCACGACATTGTGCCACGTAGCTTCTCCGAGCCACTTTCTCTCAAAGCTTGCCTCTTCCCCAAAACCCTTTTTCCAATAAGGATTTCCCATTGAGCTCTGGATGGACGATTGTTGTGTGTACAAAGAGAATGGCACTTCGGTGGGTTCTACATAAAGAAATCGCTACAGCCGGACCGTCGGAGCACGACCGTGCATCTGCTTCCTTCCATCGTTATGTCGCCACTAGAAAGCCGATGAATTCTGTTCTTGGTAGATCGTTGCCACCACACGAGTGATGCTTTTTAACGTAGTATGATTGCCTGTCACAGTATGATCACCTCTCGTAGTATGTTTGCCCAATGACCTAGTATAATTGTCAAGGTAGTATGATTGCCTATCGACGATCATTTGATGAGTGCATTTACATCGGTAGAAATTTGGGATTCAATAGGCCACTTCATTTGTGTCACGAGAATTTAAATAGAGAGGATATGTCGATCTAATGTGTTCAACTGAATACCTATGAATTCTGATGGCGATTATCTCCCGCATGCCCAAGCAAAATATGTTTGTGAAAGATTCACATCGCAGATAACAATACACATAACTTTTCTCTTTCTATTGGCACACCGCGACCATACATGTGGGTTGCTGTAGTATTCTGGGATATTGGTACTGTTGCTGGGCAGGTCCACCAGCGTTGCCGGCAGACTGAGAAGTCCGGACAGGTCCGGAGATTTGGCCGAGCCCAAGAGGAAGCTAGGGAATGACAGACGTCAATGCGCTCGTTCGGTGAGAGAGGCAATGACGCCAAGCGCAAGTAATTCATTTCACGCTTTCACAAAGTCATTGCACGTGTCTTGTTTTTCTGTTTATCGTCAGAAACAGCAAATTAAGTCGCTTGAAGGATTGTTTTAATAATATGCGTTGTGACAAACAGTGAACCAATTCAATTCGATTTGAAAGGGGACACTACCCAGCATGTTCCTCTCGCGAAGGATAACGCCTCACAGAAGGATAACGGGAACTATTTCTGCAGCCGCTCACACCGCAAACATCTATGCTGCAAAGGCCCATCCCGGTTTCGGCGATGCCACGCACACTTTCGCTTTCTCAAACTGTCATGGTCTGCCAAATCTTGACCGCTCATCGCCTTCGCTTTGCCCTCGTGAAACCTACTGGATGGAAGCAAGTGCTACATTACGAGCGAATTCCACAACCAACCACTGAACTCGCATACGACATGACATGTGACACGGTCACATGGTCTTTAGGATCGTTTAAACCATTATAACTAGGCTTCAAACAAGCTGGAACATGCCCCCGCCTATGTACATTAAGGCCGGATACACAAACATATGGATGCACTAAAGCAAAGATCAAGTACACATTTAGTACAGATATAGGTAATCGAGGTACTTGAGTGGTGAAGGTTTTTCCTGGAAAAAATTCTTTCGCTACAGAAGAGGTCCTGCAGCACCACAAATTGTCTCATGGTTCGAGTAAACTAGGGCGGATTTTGGGCTCATCAAAACCAAAAGATTAAAATATTTACTCTAGTACGCATGTTGAAGGAGATTTTCTTCGTTTTTTTGAGGTTTCAGATTACATAACGCAGATATCGGATGAATGAACTGTGATAAAAGCCCAGGAATGTCGACTAACTCGAGCTATATAATCTGTATATAGATATCCAGTTGAAAACTGAAGGCACTGCAGATCACAATCGCATACAGCACGTACTCGAGGGCGGTTAATCGTGCGGTACTTCGCAAACAATTACTGGATCGTAGTGACACGTCCCTCAAGAGCCGGAGCGGACGATGTGCAAGCCGGCTCGATCCCAAGCGACGTTCTGCTCACAAAAAAAACAAGAAAGTTTACGAGAAACCCCAAAGGTGGAGTTTGCTGGTTTAGAGAAGACGCAGCTCCGGCCGCAAACGGAGCAGACACGGCAGGAAGCATGCGCTTACGTGGACCTGCGACAGCTGACATATGTTGGTGGATGCAGCACTCGCCTTTTGTTTCTTCTGATGTGTGACGGATTTGAAGGATCCGAAGATGATGGGGAAGAAGGCCATGAGCATGATGCTGACGTAGGCCACGGCCATGCCGGCGGGTGTCGGCTGGTACTTGACAGTCTCATTTTTGACGCCCTCGGCGAGCGTTTCGTTCACCACAGCCAAAACTTCGTCCGCCATGTCCGCCATCGCTTGCCTCAGAGACCGACGCTACCGCACTCTCGAACCCAGGATGGCTGTTGCGCTTGTTGTGCCGCTAGATCAATAAAAACAATGTAACGAATGTAGTGGTGAATAGCGGCCTCTAGGTGGGGCAGATACAAACTTAATTTATCTATTTTTAAATTCAATATTAAGTCATAATTAAGGCTATACAGGTCTTATAAGTCTAATAAAGGCCATATAAGCCTAATAATTTAAGCTTATTGTAAAAATAAGTGAACAAAACAATTGTTTTTAAGTTTGACGATGAAAGACAAGTTATGCATTATGGTAGGCAAGGTAGGCAACGTAATATGGAGGTCATGTCGCTTCAGTTGAGATTTGTCCAGTTCGAACAGTTCGAACAAAAATAAACGTATAATTTGATTTGTAAGCTAAAACACTCTTTTAGCATTTTATTGCATATTTAGCACGTATTAAAACTTGAATCAATTTACTTATTTAAGATTATGTTTGACTGCAAAATCTAATCAAGAGCACGTGACAAATGACAAACATTATTTTTACATTTCGTTTTAAATAAATTTCTTTGTAACTAGTTATAGCATCGTAAAATATTATGTCAAAAAAGTGAGTTCTTATTATAATAAATTTATGGCTTTTACTCAAGGAACTTCCATTTTTACGATCAGGTTATCCGCGTATTAATCGAACACACCAACAAATGTTCGTTGTTTGTTTTGATTCTGTGAACTCTGCGGCGGCCAGCCAGCAGCAGCCATGGAAGATCCCAGTGCGACGAGTGACGCCGAAAGCGTCCTGAATTTCACGTCGTTGCAAGCGGGCAACGATTACGATTCCAACTTCGAAACGGACAGCGAGGCCGACCGACGCCGAAGCGGTCGACACGATCTCGCCGGTCCCGCCAAGCCCCGCCGCGAGCCCAAGGCTCACCGTGACGTACTCCTCACCGAGTACAGCTTGGAAGAGAAACGCCGCGAAAAGCACAATTTCCTCGCCCTCGACGCGTACACGAGGCACAAGAAGCTCATCAACGACTACCTCCTCTGCTACCCAGGTACTACTGCCAAGCTGCAACGGGACACTAGCCGCGATCGCACCGATTTCGACGTGATACGCGAGAACCACCAGTTCCTATGGGACGAGGCGGACGAAGACGTGACGAGTTGGGAGAAACAGCTGGCCAAGCGCTACTACGACAAGCTGTTCAAGGAGTACTGCATTTGTGACTTGACGTACTACAAGGCGAACAAGATCGCCATGCGCTGGCGCACCGAGCAAGAACTCATCGTGGGCAAAGGGCAGTTCAGCTGCGGCGAAAAGCGCTGCAAGTCCGACGCCAAGTTGAGGACCTGGGAGGTTAACTTCGGGTACTTTGAGAAGGACGAGAAGAAGAACGCTCTCGTGAAGTTGAGACTGTGCGCCGAGTGTTCCTTCAAGCTCAACTACAGGTTTCAGAGGAAAGAACTGACCAAGCCAGCCAAGCGAACGGAGAGCGGTGGCGACGAGCCCGATCCCAAGAGGGCCAAGACCGCTGAGGAACCTTCGGAAGCGGAGAAGACAAAAGATTCCGAGAAAAAAGACGAAGAAGAGGAGTCCGTGTGGAAGAAACCCGGTGCCGTTGAAGAAGAGAAGAGCAAGGAAGAGGAGTTTGATCTCTACTTGTCTGACATGTTCCTTTGAGATTGTTTTGTTGTTGGTCTGGTAGCCTTCGGCACTGGCCGCCAGGGGGCGCGTCGAAGTTATTTTTTTTTTTTAATGATTTGTGACGTTTCAACGTGTCGGAGGCTGTGGCCTAGTTATGGAGAAAAAAAGCACTGTTACTGTACAGCTTGGAAGTTTGGTGGAAGTGTCAGTGTGGTTGTTCAGAGGGTTGCCCTCGTGATTTCTGCATGTGTGTCGGCTTGCACTGTACCTCTAATCTACAACTTCAAATTTGGGGACATTACGTGCTGAGTTATTGAAGGGCATCTGGCACGCACCAGCGGAGGACAGGATAGTTTTGGACCACCTGCTGGGGTCTTTTGACGTGCAACCGAAATCACGGTTGCCTTCTCTGCTATAAGCCTCCGTCAGACTCTGGGCATAATCTACAACTTGGCGAAGAAGCCTCGAAGGTGAAGTCCTCGGTTTTGTTGAAATCAATTGCTGGGCTAGTTGGTTCAACATTGTACATACAATAGTGCAAGAGTACAGGAACATAGAGTGACTGGACAAGCGCTTGTCCTGTCCCTTTTATGTTCCTGTCCTCTTGCGGAATTGTATGTTATCAGTTTTCTGTCCTGCGGATGTTGTTTTCATCTGGGTCAATGCAAAACATATGCACATTCATTGTTTGCAGCTTTTTTTTTTTTTTTTTTTCAATTTTCTTAGGACAAGAATGGTCATCATTGAAGCTTTCAAGCATTGTGCCGGTGGAGTGCTCTCAAGTTCTGAGTTTAGCTTGTCATGTACAACTCTAGTTCTAAGATAAACACTCTGGGTGCTGATTCGGCAGTTGTGAAGACGACTAACCCCTAGCAGTTATTGAAAAGCAAAACCAAACTCTGTAGGATAGTGTGAGTGTCCCCCTTGATTTCGAATCGAGTAATATATTTTAATTGAATGCAGAACAGTCTCTGAGCTTCCAGGCTTGACAAGAATGATGCTGTGCCATCATCAATTGCCACCGTCTGTCATCTCCGTCACACTGCAGTTGTGGAGCATACTTGTAGGAAATCTGCCTGTCACCACTCATAATTGTAACAAGTTAAAATATTTTATAACTTGAGAAACTGACTATGTAATAAAGCTTTATGCACATTTTAAGATGGTCAAACTACTGACCAATTTTCACTTTCACAGACCTATGTTAGCATTTAACTTTGCCCATGCTATTGGCGATTCCAAAAGACTGAAATGTTTAGATAATTTTTCTTGTGCTCAAAGCCATACTTTAATACCGCATTGTTGCGGGCATAATTTGGCAACCCTAAATGTGTTTGTTTTTTTCCCCACATAGTTGAGTGTTGTGTAAACATTAGCTCCATCATACTGTATGTGGTTGAGAGCTGCTTGAACAACATAAAAACTAGTATATGAAAAATTAAAAAAGCAGACTCTTTGAACACAGTTCGACTGATGAAATGTTAAAAGTGTACTTTCCTCAACTGCACATGAAATAATGCTGTGTCCTACAAAGGGGCCATGAAACGATTTCTCTACTTTTGCTAAATACTCAGAATCACACCATAACGCTAATAACCGAATAAACTTGCCTTAGTTTTTTTTTTTTTTCTAAGCAGTGGCAGTCGGCAAATAAATTCTAGAAATATGAACATCGTCCATTCCCTCAATTCGGAGCCAGAACAAGTGGCCACGTAGCCTGGTGCCTATCTTATGCCACCAATGTTAACCACAGCCACGCGCTGGGGTCGGCAAGGTAGAAAACGTGTGCTGAGCTCCCCAGGCATTGTTAGAGTTTGACTATTCTTATCACCGCAGTGGTTGGACACGTGCCACTGCCCGAGTGTCCGCCGAGGCATTCATTGTTACGAGCCAAAGTCCAGTGCTCGCGCAGTTCTTGTGACCAATCCATGAGTCGTACTCGACTGCCATCAGGCGAATGGTTTCGATCCCACAATTACATCATCAAGCTTCGCGAAGACAAGACTGAAAGGAATAGTCCCCGTTTATCCTCGCAATTCCAGCATTACCAAGAAGCTTCTGAATCAGTGGTGGTCCGTGCTAGTATGCTTGGCCCAAACTAGGACCAGTACACCTCTGTAAAGTCATGAACATTCCAACCCGATATCATTTCATGGCCCATTTTAGGGTCTTTGGTGTATATCATTCTTATTGTGAACTATGTGAGCATGGAACTTACTTCTTCACACGACATGCTTTCTTTCCAGGCTCCTGACTCAACAAAGCTATTGTGCCAATCTACCTTTCTTGCAGAGTGATGTCATGGGGTGCTGTATTTTAATGCGAAAGCATTAACTGTCTCATGGAGCGAGCCGGCGTCATCAGTTTGAAGCACGAAAACGGCACCTAGTTTCCTTCGGTTCCATTGGCTGGCACACGTCGACGGGGCTCCCATTGGCCGCTGCGCTCGTCAGTTTCCACGGCCGCTCACCCCATGGCGCTGCGTGTCCATCAGCGCGTCGTTAACTCGGAGCGTCCAAGGTCACCAGGGGAGCACACACGCTGACCGGCGACGAAAAGTGCGCAGCAGACGGAAAAGGGAGCGGACGAGCGGCTTGCATGCTCTCGCATTCACAACTCGTAAGGAATGCTTAGCTGTACCTCGATCTTTTTTGTTTGTTCCTGTCATATGCTTTGTACACATGTTTCGGGGAAGAAAGACGATGCCATCCTGTACTGTTCCAGCGGCGAAGAAGCATGCCATGAATGAGGCTCGAGAAAAGCTAACTGATCGAGGCTGCCAGACTATCGAGAAGATGAAAAAGGTGACTCGAAAGTTTGACAAGTTCTGCTTTCACTCCTTTCCCCCAGATACGAAAATTGAGAATTGTCACCATTGTTTGAACTTTGAACATTATTTTTCACCCATTTGGCTTTAGGCAGAGTTTCGCGAAAATAGAGCTTATCATTCGGCTCAACTTCATTATGATGCAGAACACAAATTGAACACTTGTGGGAAATTAAAAACAGCGCGGAAAGACGAGGACCAGACAAAGAAGTGACACGGACGTAGCGCTGACTTACAACTGAGTTTATTGAACGCAAACTCGCAATATTTATTTGCGGTGTTACGAACAAAAGAACATAAAAAAAAAATTCAGCCCATGTGATGTGTCACCAATAAAAATAAAACAATGATAAAAAACATTGAAAAAACATTGAAAAAAAATAATGAAAAGCGCCATGACACAGCCGTACAGAGTATGTGCTAAAAATCTTGCAAGTCACGGAACCAGAAGGAACACTTGTGTTTGTAAAACATCTATTTTACATTGAACGTTTTGAACAGTCAACGTGCGAAAGTGCGGCACAAATCACTGTTGCCACACCGAGTTCCAAAGCAGGTCTGGGCTCGAGGAACTCGATCCCTCGCCAGGTTTCCGGTAAATAAAATGATTGGAGGAGAAACAGGCAGAGAGTTTGGCCCATCGCATGAAGTCAGCTTCTCCTACGAGCATCCCGACACTGGTGTGAAGCGGTATTTATGAAACGAAAACTCGCTGCCTGCTTTCCTTTTTTTTTTTTTTTTTTTTTTTTTCAGGATTGTTTATTTTATTTTGTAAGGCACCTTCATGTGCGCTTCGCTTAGGGTGATGATATCATACCAGATTGCTCGTGACGCTTTTTTTTTTTTTCTTATTTCTGGAGTGTTTGAAAGAGTGACTCTTGGCACGGGCTCTGGGCATTGACTGTCCTATATTTCTTTTTTACTTTTTTTTGTATTTTTTTGTGATCGGGCCATCGGCATCGGGTACTACAAAAATTAGCATGACGTCAAAGTAGCTTCGATTTACCTGTGTACTTTATTTATGTATTTTTCTGCACCGTGCAGGTGGCCTGCACGGGTGCAGAAAAGTCGGGCGATGTACTTCCGGTCATACCTCAATACTGATACCGGAAGTACACTGCCTTACACTTTTCTGCACCGGTGCAGGAGTCTAGGGCAGTCACCCAAGATGACTTCGCTTTGGGGAGAGCTTCCTTTTTCCACACCAGCACCAGGGCAGATGAACGGGCCTGACTGACTCCGACCCGAACAACTATTTTTGGCTATGACTGAGAAGGACTCTAGGCGGCTTATCTCTGGGAGCGAAGAGAACCGTTGTCATTGTCCGCAAAATCGCGTCGAAGTCCTTCTTCTCCTGTGTTTCCCGTGAATGTCGAGCAGAAACGCTTGAATGGCCAGGCTCTTATCAGCCCTATTTCTCACAGTGGAAGAAGACACAGAAAGGGTACGGAGCATGCATCAGAAAAATTAGGCGGAAACTTTCAAGAGGGGCCAGAAAACGTCGAATGCAAAATCGCAAAACATAGGCAGAGAATCGCGCTGAGCGGGTTTCCACGGTCCAAGAGAGTGGCAGAAAATTTCTAGCTGATAGAGGGCGCGAGAGTCGCATCAGCAACATGCCGGCGCCCTAGGAGCGTTTTTTTGGAAAGCTGTACGTACGGCTCTGGGTAGGGGCGGAACATTTATTGATTCTTACCCTGTCGCCTACTATTGGCGACCAAAAGCGTCTCTATGGTCGGCTTTCCATGACTGGCCATACCTCGTGGAACTTGTCGTCGCAATTATTCGTGACGAGAAGTTTGGGTATCGCTGCCTGGTGAAATTTTTTCACGACCCAGAGTGAGGATACTTCAACTTCCTCTGCTGGTGCAACCACGCGCAACGTCAAGTTTCTATGCACAATGAAAACGAAAACATAATAACTGGGTGGGTAGCAGGTGCACTATACCCATAGTGAGGAAAACAGAAGAGCCCCTAGCGAGCTTCTCATCGCGAATAATAGTCTGTGCAGGTTAAGAGTAAAGTGGAAGCTCCTCCCACCTCTTTCCACTTTAGCAGAGCGAACGCTGGAGTGAAGGTCGCCTCCTCTCCAGCGTCTTCTCTGCTAAAGCGTAAAAGGGTGGGAGGATCTTCCACTTTACTCTTAACCTGCACAGACTATTCGCGTCTCCAGCTCGTTGCTCGCCTTCTCGCGGCGGTAACTGGAAGCGCTCTAATGAGGGTCCCACGGCTCTCTTGCTCAGCGGGCGCGGCGCAATTGCTCGCAATCATGGCTCGCAAACAGCCATTTATGAATGCAAACAATGTTTTTCACTCTCCCAATATAGTGGTGCAGCCGGCATGTGATTTACGCTTTACCGACTTACGTTACCTCAAAATAAAACGAATGCGTTACCGTTACCGTAACCGTTAAAAAGTGATTCCCACTTTAAATTATTCTTCATGGTGGCGACTCTTGCCCCGCGTTGGTAATCATTCAGAACAAATCTAGCACACTGATTTTGAATTATTTACAGTTTTTCTTTTAGTTTATTGTAATGGGGATCCCACACAACCGCTGCATATTCAATACAGGGGCGAATAAACGTAAAGTACAAAGTTTCTTTAATTTTGCATGAACCCTGTCGAAAATTTCGTCGTATAAAATTAAGCATGCGTACAGCCTTCAGAGTTATCATTTCCACACGAGCTTTCCACGTTAAATCGCCGGACAGAATTACACCCACGTATTTTACGCTTGAGTTTGACTGAATTATTTCATTATTTATCATGTAGGTTGAACCAATGGAGCTTTTCTTTCTAGTAAATCTCACGTGAACACATTTTTTTAACGTTCAGATTCATTTTCCAATTGTTGCACCACATTGTAATATTGTCGAGATCAGCTTGTAAGAAATTTACGTCATTCGAATCATTAATTACTCTATAAATAATACAGTCGTCTGCAAATATTTTTATATTTGATTGTATTCCATTAATAATATCATCTCTATATACCAGGAAGAGCAAAGGTCCCAGAACAGAACCCTAGATGTAACACCATCGTAACCGGACTTCTCACCATTTAGCACAACGCACTGCTTTCGTCCTCTCAGGTAGTCGTGGAGCCAATTTAAAACATATTATCAATGGCAAGTAAGGTAAGTCTGTAATTTAACAATGCATGGTTTACAAGTTCAAAGGCTTTTTTTGAAGTCTAAAAACAAACAGTCTACTTCATGTCCAGTATCCATGGCGCCCGCCAAAAAGTGAAAAACGTCAGCAAGCACAGTCACACAGGATGCTCCAGATCGAAACCCATGCTGATCTCGGATAAGGAAATTATCTATGTCCAAGTGTGTAATAAGATTACTATAAATCACGTGTTCCATAAGTTTGCAGCATATGCACGTGAAAGAAATAGGTCGGTAATTTTCCACGCAGTTCTTGGATTCTGATTTGTGTACTGGTACAACATTTGCGATTTTCCAGTCTGCTGGAAGCTTTTGATCCCTTAATGCTTTGTTGTGAAGCACACATAAAGAGTTTGCCATCTCGACGGAACAATTCTTCAATATAAGTGGAGAAATATTATCAGGCCCGGATGATTTCTTTACATCAAGATCTCTTAGTAATAAAGCTATACCGTTGTACGTAATCTCTACGGGTGACATCGCATGTTCCATTACAGATCGCACAGTAGGGTAACAGATCGTTGTCGTAGCCTTCGAAAAAAACAGATTCAAAGTAATTATTTAGACACGTAGCTTTGTTTTTCCAGTCCACTATTAGCTGTTCGTTTAATAGAAGTGGAGGAACAG